GTGTGGCAGAATCGTCACTTTCTTCGCGCATAACCGCTACACGTTTGCGAGGAAAGTACGTAGTATATCGTGAAAACGAAATAACTGTGATATTATGTAGAAACAAAATACAAGCCGGACAGCAGGCAGCTATCGGTGCGAAGACCATATGCAGCTACGCGAAACAAGCACTGTCTATACGATTTTGCCGCGCGCTCCCGCTCCCCTACCTGCGCTGTCGCCCATGGTGTCGGGTCCCTGCAGCGCATTACGCTATAAAAGGTCAATAAAACAATGACCAATGCGAAATACCAATGATCGGATTCCTTTAACGCTAGACGCAATGCTGATCCACGTATAGGATGTACGATTAGAAATACCGACAGTTATTCACATTTTCTTTCCGCAGTTGCATTAGCTAATAACACTCTAAAATGGTCGATGCTGTTAGCAGAATGCGCTTGGTAGGCTTGACCGTTAACAGCAAAGCAAAGAGCCCACATCGATTTCGTCACTCCCTGTGTCGTCACTAACTGCCTATACTACGTAGCATGCATTGAGGTCAGTATGCGTAACCAGCGGTGCCGTTGATTCGATGACCATATTCTTACGCTGGTTGCCCTAGGCCCAGGCAGGAAATATTGATCTTCATTCGTCACTAGCCACTTCCTATGGCGGACACGTGGGAAACAAGCTTGCTATGCTGGAAGCGCCAGCAGCCAATCCGTCGACACTAATACCCATAGGGTGCTGTGATGATGTCATCGTAGTGCTATGTACGTGATGTGTTCGTGAGCTTGAGACACGACACACACGACACACACACACACACCCACCACGACACCACCACACCACCACACACACACACAACAAGGACACCACACGCACGCACGCACCGCTGTGTGAGTGTGGTGTGTTGTGTGTGGTTGTGTTCTGTGTATATGTGTGTGTGTGTCCGTGCGTGCCCGTCGCGTGCGTTGGCACACCGCCACGAAACCGCAACTCACGTGTGCAGTGCCGTACGTGGACGGGGATGTGTCGTGTGTGCTGTGTGACGGTGCTGCCTGATGTGCCCCTAAGTCCGCGTGTGAGTGTGCTGTGTGCGAGCGCCGTGCGTCGTGTGACCCATACCGTGTTGTCTGTGTGGTGTGCATGACCACGCACGCCACGCACGGCCTGTACGGAACACCACACACCCACAACCACAGCCACAATGCACCGCACACGAGCCATACACAACTGCACGAACGCCTACATGCCGAGCACGCACAACCACGAGCGTCCTAGAGCCACACAGCCCACGTTGCCACACCTACACAACGCCCACACAACGCCACACGAGCACGTGTAACCACCACCGCACAGGCGCGACGCAACACACGTATACCTGCCACACGCTGAACGCACCCACGCACGCACACACGCGTCATCCGAAGCACGATGCCAACCCCGGCACGCACGCTCACGAACGTGGTACGTGGTACCCGGCCACACGCACGCACGCAGCGCACGGTTGTCACGCACGCACGCCCCATGCACGTGTACGTGCACAGCGCACTGCACCACGCATACACACACGCATTGACACGCACCGCGACGCCACGCACGGTGGTACTGGCCCACGCACCGTGTACGTAGCCCACGCACGCGCACTCACGCCACGTGTCACGCTCATCAACGCACGCGACGCAACACATGATACCTGCCACCTACGTCTATCGCACGCAAACGCTACGCATACAGCTACGAGCACGGAGCACACGCACCACACGCACGAACGCACGCACGTGTACGCTGCCCACGCCACGCACGCACGTGTTACGCTGCACACACACGCACGCCCCCATCGTGTACCGTCACGCCACACACACGCACGCCCCCAACGTGTACGTGCCACCACGAACCGCACGCCACGCCACGCACTGCACGCACGCACGGCCGCTGTAGCTGCCAGACCGTTTCTGCTGCCCGCAGTGTGTCTTGGTGGTGCCCACGTGCTGTGCGTGTGTGTGTTGTAACACAGTGGGTGCTGAGGCCAATGTGTGTGTGTGTGTGTGTTCTGCGTGTTGTGTGTTGTATGTGTGATCGTGTGTGGGGTGGCCTGTCAGACTCAGACATGTGACGCCGAAAGTGGCACTGACGACCGCAACTATTGGGTTGTGTGTCTGTGTAATTGGAGGCCACGAGCCCGCACCATTTTCTCGCGCGTGGGTGTGTGTAACAGGGCCGCTGTTGTGTGTGGTGTTTGCGAGACACAGCTGTGCTGTTGTGTAGGTTCCTGCTGTGTGGATGTCGTGTGCACGCACACACACACACACTACACAACACACACACACACACACACACACACACACACACACACACACACACACATGGGTATAACGGATGCTGCGCTTAGCATCGCAAGCTGTTCACGTTGTCCGCTAGGAGTGCTAGTGGCGAATGAAGATCAATATTCCTGCTGCCAGGGCAACCAGGTAAATATGCATCGATCAACGGCACCGGTTACATACCTGACTAATCATGCTACGAGGTATAGCATTAGACGACTACAATACGAAATCGATGTGGCTCTTGCTTTGCTGTTAACGTCACCACCAGAGCATCTCTCAGCATGACCAAAGATGTTATTCTCGACGGAAGAAATGTGAATAACTGTCGGTGATTTCTATCGTACATCCTATACGTGGATCAGCATGCCTGCGTTAAAGGAATCGCTTGGATTTGCATTGGCATTATTTATAGTAATCGCTGCACAACATGGCGACACAGGTAGGCGCGCGCGCATGTATGCGTGCTTGTTTGTACTTCGACGTGTGCCTGTCCGGCTTGTTTTTGTTTACATAATATCACGTATTTCGTTCACGATATATACGTACCGCAAACGTGTAGCGGTTATGCGCAAGAAAGTAACCGATTAAACGTTTTTCTAATAGTTTTGATATGTATCGCTCGCCATGAAACACTTATTAGGGTAGCAGAAATACATGCGAACTATACACATTTACTTCTTTCCTACCGAATGGCAGTCCTAACGAACTAATTACTTCATGATGCAGTAAATAACGTTGCCGCGCTTCTGCCACTCTCTCGCAGACGCCTGTGATCCATGGAGATTCCAGTGCAGTGATAATTCTGAGATGTGCCTTGAGGGCGACAGGTTTCAGGATGGTGTCCAAGACTGCAATGACAACTCTGACGAAGGTCTGCCGGATTATCACTGTTTGAAATATGACAACGAAAATCAGGAATGCAAACATGAAATACACATATAAAAACATGTCGAATTTTAAGCTGTGATTAAAGCTTGCGGAATTAGTTCCTTCAATAATTTAATTTAATCAGTGGATGATTCAACCGTGTAGTGTGACTTTAGATAAATGTTAACGGACTGGCACAACAGAAGTATATATCACTGCCGAAACACACGCGCACACGCACGTAGCTGCGCGCACACACACATACACTCGTAAGCACACACACTCGCAAGCACAAAGCACACACGTCACGCACGCACACGCGCGCGCACCACACAACACACCAGCACACACACACACCACACACACACGACAACAAACACAGCACACACACTACACACACACACACACACACACACACACACACACAGCACACCACACAAGACAAACCAAGCAAACAAACACACTATCAAAAAAGAATAATAGTTATATCCTCTCTTGGCACTATCAGCATTCACCTGAGTGAATCGTGGAGAATAGTGCAGCCAACGTAGTCGTGCATCTGTCCGAGGTACATGTATACATCCGTTGCAGAGTGCTTGCCGTGGCAGTTCGACTGCCTCACGTATTCCCTCCGCTATCCGAGGTGCATCTCTATGCAGAAACGATTCGACTCGAGGGCCGACTGTCTGATGAGCGACAATAGTTTGCAGACGGAGCCACGGCTGCCAGCCTGAAGATACGCTCAGCGGGGGGACCTGCTGAAAGCAGAGAGATACAATAGAATAGCATAGCTAGCTAGATAGATAATAGATAGCTATAGAAAATTAGAAAGATAAAACTAGAGAGATAGCAGCTTGATAATAGTAGTACAGATTAGATAGTGAGGTAATAGGTAGATATATAGATAGATGCTAGAATAGATAGATACCTAGATATTATAGCATACGATAGATAGATAGACAGAACAGAAGAATCAGAATAGATAATAGAGAATACACTAGATAGGATAGATAGATAATAGACAGACAGGAACGCATAGATATAAATAGATAGATACGATAAGATCAAAGATAATACTAGATAATAGATACGATCAAGAAGATAGATAGAAGATATATAGAAGATAGATGGACGGACGACGACGGACGACGAACATCGAGGACGACGGACGACGACGGCATAGACGCGATACCATATGTAGATATAATACATATATAATATATATAATAGATACGTAGAAGATAGATAGATAGCATAGACTATAAATAGAAATAATAGACATACTATCATAAGACAAATAATAGTAGTAGTAGTAGATAGTATAGTAGGACGAGGTAAGTAGGTATGTAGTAAATAAATCGGACACAGACTAACAAATAGTAAAAAAAACATAAATCGCGCCACAACACATACCACCCACGCACGCACGTACAGACGCCCAATCGACGACGCGATGTGTAGTTCTAATATATATATATATAGACGAATAACATCAGAACTCCGCTATAGGAAAACAAAAGATATTTCAGATTCAGCACCGTCTGGAGGTGGTTCTGGCTAAACAAAAATTAAAAATTAAAAAGTTAAAAATTATAAAAATTTATTTCATCAATATGGCGGTGCGTACAATAACATCACTACGGGAATCCATGGGTATCCTTAACGCGCAGTCGCCAATCGCTAGAACATCCGTTCCTACACCGCGATTCGTCGGTCCCACTGGGAATATTTCCCCTTTTTCTTTCTTTTCCCTTTGCTTCATCTTTAGTATGTATTATTTTTAATTTCTACCTCTTTTATTTTATTTTATATTTAAGTCTTTTATCTTTGATTTCTTATTTATTTTACTGTTTGGATGGATGCATCGGATCGCATCACGGATGGATGAGGCATGGATGTACTTCCGACCATCAGCCTTGTTCTGCAAACAGATGCAATCGGATACGTTCGTCGGTGCGATGGGATGCGGTGCGATGGGATGGGATGGGATGGCATGGCATGGAATGGAATGGGATGGATGGATGGATGCATGCATGGATGGATGCATAGATAGATAGATAGTTATATTTTTTTGGGTATTTTCCTTTCAACCAAGCGGTCACCAACTGAGTAACGCCACTGATTTCCACGGGCAACGCCGGGTATCCCGCTATTAACATATATTTGTTTTTAATATATCTTGGTTATTAAAATTCTACACATATTAATAATAACAATAATTATTATTATTATTATTATTATTATTATTATTATTTTACGTAACATCTCTGTGTAAATCATGCACACATCGCTGTTCAACATCGCTTAGGTTAAATGTACGGTGGTGCCACCTCCTGTTGAATAATTAACGATTCTCCCGCTGCCCCGCTATATCATACAGCAAGCGTTGCTGAGTAATGCGAAAAACAATTCTGTTATAGTCGTCCGGATGCACCTAGGTAACGCGGGGTCATGCTGCTGTTCCCGCCATCATGAAAAGATCGATCGCTTTATTCGCGCCATCTTTCTTTGCCGCATGAAAACCGAGTGGCATTAAAAATGTACGATAAATTACGAAGTTTTACGGACTAGTGCATAATTCACATCCCATAGAATGGCGACTACTTGTTTATTCAGCCGACGTGTTTACAGTAATTAACCGGTGGCCGACAACGTGTATAACTTGCTAATTAGTCATCCAGTCAGTATATAGTTGTGTAAAAAAACTATTCGGCTAAAAGGCTAACTACCTGGCTTTACCCAAGCTAGGTCACACCCCATGGCTAGCTATAGCCCTGGACGCTTATTCCTTACGGACTGTCCAGTATAGAAGTAGAAGTAGAAGAAGTAGAAGTAAACCGAGAAGCGGTTAATTAGAATTGCGGTGTTAAAACAGCTACGGCGTTGGGGACGCATATGACTGCATTAAATTACCGGTACCGTAAACCTTACATAAACTCCAATCCTAACCCCAACCAAGATCATGCGATCCCCGTCAGCACCGATGCGTTCTTCAGGAAAACTCCTATACCGTTATCTATGTAATTATCTGTCTAGATTAATTTGGAACGTTACGTCACTTCCGCTTCTCTGTCACTCGCACCATAGATATATACAAACACATGGATTGCTGACTTCCGCGCGCTAACGATCAATCATATCGCTCACACTTAGGCCTGCCGTGTGACTCGAAGCCGTGTATGAACAGAGGCTGGTGTAAGAACCGTCTGCTGCCGACCGACTCCTACTCGTATGACTGCGTCTGTCAGCCTCCGTTCACGGGCAGAAACTGCGACGAGGGCGTAGATACCGGCGTCACGTCGCAAGGTTGGTGGAGTGTGCGCCCGCCGATGGCGCCAGTGACACGAGAAATTATCTCACTCAGAACGCGTTGAATATTGAGGAAAAACAATTCACGAGTAGTGTGCTGGTGTGGGGTGGGGTGGGGTGGGTGGGGAGGGTGTGTTAGTAATTGCGAATGTGGCATGAACGTGGACGCTTTTCCATCTCTTCCATCTCTGTCTACTGAATTTAGCTCTTGGATTTTCTGCTAAGCCACCCTTTTTGTTGTTCTAAAGTTAGGCTCTTAGGCCTTTCTAATACGATTTTTGTGGTCTACTAAAACCATATAACACTATTCTTCGTATCCGATATCGGGGATGTTCTACTGATATCTCTTGGTTTTTACCAATTTAGTCGCTTCGTTTACTTAATTCCCTCTCTGGTCGTAACGCGAACATCGTGATTAAATATAAAATAGGCTAAATGTATTCGTGTAATTATGCCGTCTTCCCGGGGATTTCTCGTCTGCAACCACGACAAACCGCGTGTCATAAATGTGTGTCCATGTGTGTGTGTGTGGGGGTGTGTGTGTGTGTGTGTGTGTGTAGGGAGGCACTAGTGTGTGTGAGCGTGGTGAGGTGTGTGAAGTCTGGTGTGTGAGTGGTCGTGATGTGTGTGTGTGTGTGTGTGTGTGTGTGTGTGTGTGTGTGTGTGTGTGTGTGTGTGTGTGTGTGTGTGTGTGTGTATTCGCGCGTGCTTGCGTCTTGCATGCGAGATTTTACATAACTTACTTACTTAGAGGCGATTGGCATATGTAATGAAACATAAAAAATATAGGGAAATAATTTTCATTAAAAATGTACGCAGTGGAAAAAAGTTTTCTCGTAAGAAGATGTCTCTAATTCAACGACGAACGAATAACATTACGTCCTTGCATACGACATTTATAGTATGTACTTTTATCTTTGATAGTTTATGAATCCATGCAGCATATTCAGAATCTGTTGTATTAGGTTTCATAACGATTATGGCACAGTATATCGATATCTATCGTCGGTAG